GTAGCCGGTGCGGCAGCGCCACCTCGCGGCGCCCGGCCGCCCCTACAGCCGCGCCCGGGAAAGGCGGCTGGAGGGAAAGCTAATCCTCCTCACGGGACTTACTTGACCATGTCGCTGGCTCGGTATTTCCTATTTTTTTTACCACATGGAAAGGAAGGAAATTAGCTGGACTAAACCAGGCCAGAATTTGGCTTGTTTTGTCCTAAATTTAGTTTCTCTTTGTGGCTGGGTTCAGACACTAATGTTTGTCATTTAAGAAAGGTAATTCAGGTCATTTTATAGTAAATTATCCGCTGAATCAATGAATGAAGCTTAACTGATACCTTAATGTTTTCACTTCTTCATCAAATCCATAGTAATGAAAAAAAAACTATTTGAAAAGAGCAACATATAACAGTGAATAGAATGAAAATGTCACTTTTCTGTGATAACTGTTCATTCCAGTGAAACGGCAGCACATTTGCTTCCCAGTTGAAGGAAACCCAGGCAAGGGCAGAATAACATAGGGTGTATTAATATTTCTCCTCAGAAACTGACTACAGTTTTAAGATTGTCACTTTAAGTCCACTGCCTATAAATTAGGAACTGTAGGTACTGGTAACCTTTACTAAGGATGTAGTCAAGAGTCTCAGCTTGGTACAAATTTTCACAGAAGTGCACACATTTAAAATGCTGGAATACATGAGCGCAACACTAGACTTCTGCACTTGCACGGAGCTGCCTTCCTGAGTGTAAGAAATGCCATCCACTCCTATGTTTGCAGCCCCACTACTGCTGCCCAGTGCTGTGAATGCATGCTAGGCAGCAGCCTTCCAACTCAACTGTATCCTTCAGACATACATCCAAAGGCTGTGTCCGGAGGAATGGTCTCCCACAAGATTTGCGATTCACCCTGTCTACCTACATGATATCCCAGAAAACTAATCTCCAGGATGACAGCTCATTCAGCACTCTGGAAATTTACCCATGCTGAGCTCCTCTTTAAATAATGACCTGACATTTGTTCTGTAGAGGGAGACAAAGCCCAGACTGATGAAAACGGTTGGCAGCTGCTTTCATTTGTGCCATTCAGAAGCCAGATGATAATTTGTCCTCAGGGACCCATCACTTCTTGGCAGTCAGACCTGTCCACTGCACTTTGCTATTACTTTGGCTGTTACCTCCCACCCCTGGTGCATGCAGCACACACACAGAGTCAATATTCAAGGCAGACTAAACTAAAATTTACTGCAAAGAGTCATGAAGGATTTAATGTTTCTGAGAAGCGGGAGATAAGATCACATATTAATTTGGTGCTGGTAAATCCAAAGCAGTAGATATTGGGAAAGACATTGTTAGACCTACATAAAAGGTTAAATTAGCTATTGCTCAGAAAAGAGATCCCAGCCTCTTTGAACTGTTTAATGAAGACATTAGCTAAGCAATAAAGGCCAAAGAGGCAAAGCACTCTGAACTAGTGGGCAAACAGATCAAGCCAGAAAACATTGTTCCAGATGAACTTTGAGTTCACATTTTGCATACACTGTGGAGCTCTCATTCCTTTAAATTAGCTAGAGCAGAAATACAAAATATACAGACAAGGATGACCATGGTAATCAGAGCATCTTCCATATAAGCAGATGTTAAATAAATGAGGACTTCCCAGCCTGGAAAAAAAGAGGTTACTAGGAGGTGATAATAATGATGACACATTAAATCATCAATGGAATCCAGGAGAACAGATGCAATTATTCATTATTTTTCACAGGATACAACTGGAAGAGATAAAATGAAGTGCTCACATACCAGCTTGCATGAAATAATTACCCAACAAAGTGCTTTTTTTCCACAGCCAATACACACCTGTAGCATTAACTGTCAAAGGATGTTATGGTTGCAGTTTAGGATGGAATGCAGAATTTACCTTGGACCAAAAAATCCTTCCCAATTCTTGGAAACACTATATAAATATATAGGGCCATCCACACTTTAGCTGTGGAAGAGCAATAGCAACAGCAATGAGACAAGTCTATGCATGTGGTCCCAGCACATCTTAGATCCCTTTAGATGCAGAGTCTGTGGTACCCATGAAGGGAGAGGATATATATATATATATATTTCATACTGTGCCTCTTCTTTCTATTCCTGGCAGTTTTTATTTTTAAGGATCCCCAAATTGTTGCTGCTATGTTGGATGTCATCTATTCTACCCAGCAACAGAGGAAGTCATAGCTGCCCTTCAGAGACATGTTTGCAGAGAGATGGGGAGAGACAAGCTGAAGCAGGCTTCCCTCTTAAAGGATTGAAAAAGAAAAAGCCCCAGTGTGCTGCAAATGTTCCAGCCACTATTTTCCAAGTACATGATCTGCTCTCTCATCTAAGCTGAACACGCTGAACACTTGAATGTGTCCAACTCTCACTGACATCAGCAAGGTCAGGCAGCAATACAGGCAGCCGTGCTGCTGTCCTGCTTCTCCCTTTGGAACCAGTGCTCTGTTACATAATCCCTCCTGTTGTCCTGGAACCTCTGCAGCCACTCTCAGTCAGCAGTGGTTAGTGAGGGAAAGGGAGCAGGGGTTCAGCCTTGGAAGTTACTGTGCAACACAATTGCAAGTGGTGCCACCAAGGAGAAGTCAAAGGGACACTGTACATAAAGCAGTGCCAAGTACTCAAATGCATCTGTTTCCATGGCTATAGCACAGCCTGCCAAAATACAGTGCTGGTTTATATCTGAGTCAAATTGCACTTCAGTCACACTACTGTCGCTGTCCTTTGCAACTGCTTTAGTCCAGGATTCCTGCACAAGCCTTGCTTCTTTCACATAAATATCCATTGATGATTTTTGCTGAAGAAAATGCAGTCAAGGTGGAATTCACTCTTCACCCGGGAGTCAGGAGCTCTTCCTTTGCTGATTCTGCCCACAAGACAAAACCCCAGGGGCAGAAGGCCACGAGCTCTATGTAGAACATGCTGTGGTCTGCAGCTTTTTTCCCTCCAGCACAGTGGGGACCCAGGCAGGGTCCAGGGGATCCTTCCCTGGGGAAGGCACGCAGCCAGGGCTGCCTCATGGCTTAGAGCTGCACCCAGCCATTGCAAAGCCCCTCAGCTCTGCAGTTCTCCTGTCATGGTGCAGGCAGGTGAGAACACCTCTAAGAGGCCACAAATCTGGTTCTCACACACAAAGGTGAAGAAACAAAGAAACTTGGTCTCACTTTCTGCAATACCCATGGCCAAAAATAATCCAGTACAGAGCAGGAACTGGTGTACCGCAAATCCTGGAAGGGTTTCATTTTCCCCCAAGAGGCAGGGAGGGAGCAGAGCATGAACCAGACCTGGTTCAGTTACTTTCCTTATGAGGCTGTGCAAGCCTGGCCCATGGCTTGGGCTGCCCTGCAGTCTTGCTTTCTATGACACCCTGCCCTTCCTGATTACAGACTTGGAATGATCACTGCTCAACATAGGTGTCAGCCAGACTGTCTCTACATCAGGCTCACCACACATCACTGAGACACCATGAACTTGTTAGTACAGAAACAACAAGGCTGATACTTATTAGCCTCTCTGTTTTATGCAGTATCTTTATTTTTAAGACACATTTACACATCCCTTCTCATTTGCTCTGAATGTAGCCACCAGCTCAGCTGAAGAGGTGTTTGCCCCTCTCTGCTCCTCAGCAGTGTCACAGGCTGGGACTGCTGGTTTCCACACCAGATCTCTTTATGCCAGATATTCATGGAGCCCAGTTTGGGCAGCTTCCCAGCCAGCTGCATGCATTCCCCTTTCAAATCCCAAACACAACAGAAAAAGAAAAGCCCATCCAAAATGGAGAAGAAGAGGACATGTGCAGTGTCTTCAGCTTTACACTAAAGTGTCAGTTCACTTTTCCCCAAATACAGAGCCCAATGATTGGTGATAATTTTCTGTTCTATCTTCTTAAAGCTGCGTAAGAGAATCAGTGCCATTCTTTGGTAGCATGATTCACCCCAACACCGCCAGGAAGAAAACAGTTTGAAACACCAGATGCTCTTTGCAACCAGTGCTTTGGATATATTTCCAGCAAGGGTTTTTCTTCCCTCCCCACGAAAACAGACACACATTCTCATTTAACAACTAATTGATTTATTTAACAATACAAATTTCTTTCTACTGCATGGTTTAGCAGAGAGAACTTGAGAAACAAAATTAGCTTCTTCTCTTTTTCTTTTAAAGTTTAAATGTTTACACAAAAACAACCTTTACTTCAGTAAATATAAAATTTACACACAAAAAAAATCTACATTAAAAAATAACAGAATCATGACAAACCAACAAAAAAAAAAAAAGGGGGGGATGGGAATTCAGTGTAAAGGATCCAATTGCAAGGAAGGCAAGATGGGGCAACACTAACAAGGCATCCCATTTGTACACCTAGGTACCTGAAGTTGTAGGTACAATACAAACCCAAAATACATTAAAATTAGAATTAAAACCTGTATTTTTATACCATAATATTTTATGATATAAATTTCTGTAAATTCTGTAGGCGACACAGTTAATGTGTGAGCTCCACAGTTTGCTCTCCACTGGAAGGTCACTGGAGTGGTGTAGGAGCACCGTGTGGCCCACGAGTGCACTAATGGTCAGCAGGGAGCAGACTTCAGACGTGCAGCCCGGACGTGATAGCCCCTTGTTCCTTTGCCAATCTGTGCTATTTCTCACACATCCAATGACATGACGAGAAATTCCGGTCACCTTCAGCAGTGATTTCCAGCACTTCATCTCCTGGCATTAGTCTGTTACCTGACTTAGGCATATTCACCTGCCAGATCCTGTTTCTCATTCCCTTTTGCACTTTTTAACCTGAACTCTAAAGCTATCTTGTAGCTACCAAGAGAGACTGGCTTCTAGGTTGAGATATTTGGGATACACAGTTCTTCAAGCCACCTTCAGGCATCTGTAGAAATATTTAAAGTAAGGTGGACCTTACTTTACATGGTCAAAGGTTGTGTGATACAAAAACCAGGGACCTGTATAGTAATGGTTAACTTTAGACCTAAATCTTTAGCATTTTTTTGTATTGCTTTAATATTTAAACTTAACATTCAGTTTTCATATATTAAGTGAGCAGAGCATCTTATTGATGGAAGTGCTATGTTATCTCTGAAAATACCAGGTAGTAAGGGAGATTGTAAAATTTAAAATTAAGTGTAATTTTAAAAATCATTTAAAGGAATCAAGTGTCTTTTTTTTTTTATATATAATCAATATTGTGACTGGCAAACTATAAAAGCTTAAATTATAAAACTATTAGTGACTCTACCTTTTAAACTGTATGTACTATAAAGCTGTATTTTTGTACTTACAGATGTTACAAAATTTCCAAGGCAGAAAATGAAGGGGGGAAAAGGTAGTCTAAAATAATTTACAGATTTCATTTTTACTAAGAAAGGTTATTTTCCCCACTACTGTTTTTATGTCATATAAATCTGATTAAGTTTATTGTACTCCTCTCTTTTCTGGGTAGATGATACAGTGTTCAATCATGCTTTGGAAGACCTTTTTCAATGGATAACTCAGTTCTCTAGGTCAGCAAGTCCAACTTGCTTTACTCAGAAACAAAAGCACCAGACTATCTCTAACTTCGCCTTCCTCCTGAAAAAAACCTTTGTAGCGAGACTGAGGCAGCCTGTTCTGAGAGCAGGACTGGCCCTGGAGCAACCAGCTGTGTTAACTTCTCGAGTAAGCATATGAAATGTGATCATTTCAACTTGAGAAAGAGCTGAAAAGTATTAAATTTCAGAAAAGTTTAGAAATTTCACTTGTTCTGTTAAAAACAAAACAGGGAAAACTTAAACAATCCACAGGTGTGCATTAAACATTTAATAGCAAGCCTTTGCTTATGTATATTAATTTAAAAATTATCCACAGGGATCTGTGATACATTGGTCTTGCCTTGTTATTATAATTAAATTTATTAAAATATTAATTTAAAATAGGAAAACAAAGAAACTACTCCATGGGGAACATGTTTATTGTGTTTGAGATGATACACTGGGTGCTCTCTGAGCTACAAAGGGAAAAAGGAAATCCTTTCATTACAAACTGACAAAGGTAAAAGTTAGAACAGTTTTCACAACAGCATGTACCACATATTGGAAATAGATCTGGGTTTAATACAAATGACATAATTCCTAGTAATCTACAGCTACCTTTAATAACTTCATACAGATAATGAATTAGGCTAAAATGCACTATAATATTTGGTTGACTTCAGGAACAGTATCCTTAGTACATCACAAAATACATTTTGATATCCCAAAGAAGCAAGACTTGCAAGTAGGCATTTTAAACATAACTAATCTACAGCTACAAACTTCTACTCTTGATAGCATTTACCTTTTTGGGGGGCAGTATCCCAGTCTTCAAAAGGATAAAAGCAGAGTAGAATCAGTATAACATATACACAGAAGTCCGTATTGTAAAGGCTATAAAGATTTGTTGCACACTGCAAAGTTGCCTTCTGCACCTTCACACTGCACAAGTAGTTTGTCATTTATGTTGCATATCTCTTGGTCCACTGTCTGGCTATCCTGTCATGTTCTGCTCTGTTGGTCAGGTATTGAGTGGCTATGCTTCCAACCAGAGGGTCAGCTGCAAAAGGCAGGAGAAAATGCACCAGAATTAATCCCACAGGTAACAAAAATCCCCAAGCAAAAACACATTTTAAAACACAGCATTCATTCCAAAATACAGTTAAGATCAGAAATACAGTGGAGCTCTTATCATAATAAGACATTTCTGGGAAAGCACACGTGGACAAAGCACAACAAGCAGAAAAAAAACCAGGAAAATCTACTGTGGTTATCTGCATATGAATGAATCTTGCCTCAGGCAGGTGCTCCGCTTTCACCCTTTGGGGTGCAGGAAACATTCAGCAACTGCTGCGTGGCACCCCCTGTCAGGGAGGTGCACAGGACTAGTGTGACTTTGAACATTAGGGCTGCAGAACACACCCAGGGGAGCTGCTTCAGGAGTCATCAAGCCTTTGTAGCTAAGAGACCGATCCACTTCTCCCTGTGACCACTTTCTGTACATGGATGGGACGGTCCCTTAGCGCTATTGCTGTTCCTGCCCTGACCGCAGGCAATTAGCATCCATTGCCTAATGACACTGCTCACAGTTGTTGCTGAGAATCTGTACTGCTTCCAGTGGAATTCCTCCCCTCCCCACAGGATCAAGGAAGTTTCTTTGGAAAAGGGGCGTTCTTCCTGAAATTGCCTCCTGCACATTTGCAAGGCTAAACCTTTCAACTGCTGTAGTAAGAGACTTCCTGCCCCTTCCAACATGCAGGATTTACAACTCAGGAAAATATTTCTCCTTTCCTGGACTCAACGCTCATTTGCTGGTGCTTCTTCAATACAGACCTTTGATGACATCAGTTTATTTTCCCCATCATACCATGGAAAAAAAAATGGATTTAGTGCTATTTACTTTCTACTGTGTCACAGGAGTGAAAAACACTATTAAAACTGGGACCACATCCAACCTGGAGTGCTCCATCGCAAATTTAAAAAGTATTAAATGTTATTTGACCTGCATGCAATCAAATATGCAAATTACATTCCATGGTAACTAAGTCAAACAACTGAGAGTCTCTCAGTGAACTATCAGCTCCTCACCTGGGTTGCAGTCTGTCAGAAGAGAACAAATAGACAGCAGAACCTTTGAAATAGTCAAAGCAGGGCTCCAGTTGTCTTTCAGGATATCCAGACAGATGACTCCCTGACTGTTGATGTTGCAGTGATAAATTCTGGTGCGGAAAGTAACCTGGAATGACAGTGTAAGAGACAGGGAGTCATTCAGTGTTGCCCAGGGATGGTGCCCCTTGGCTCTGAGCAGCCTGTGGGACTCCCAGTTCTGCAGAGCTTCTGCAGAGGCAGCTCCTCTCTGCTTGGCTTCCAAACCACAATTGTTTAACAGAAGAGTGACTATTTTCTGTAGCTAGGGCTGCCTTTAAAACTTACCACGATGAGATTAGGGGCATGAACTGCTTTCACACAGGCTCTCTGTATGGTACCCACAAAAATTAGGACCTACTTTATAGTATGGTAGCTATTTAATGAACATACCACGTGCCAAGGAACATTCTAATCACATATGTAACTTTACTGTGGTTTCTGAAGGTGAAGCACTACACAGAATTTGTCTGCATGTGCAGTATTAGTTGATCTTTTTCTTTCTTTCAACAGCCTAAATACAGACCATGAAAATTAGTCTTGTTAAATGAACAATGAAATCTTTGTCCTTACCCTTCATTAGGCAGAATATAATATGCAGCTAAAACAATGCTATTACACTAACTAAATCCATCCTTGTTTTCAAATTATTTCAGACTAATATTGATAGAACGTGTGAACATTCTGCACAAATAAGAAATGAGAAATATGTAACTTTAATTACACAAAACACAAGAAAATATGGAAACCTTTTCATACTGATGTGGGGGGAGTAGAATCCACAATGTATCCTGAAAATTCAAAAACTATTATGGTCTAAAAAAATCTACAATATTTGAATGAGGAATTTGTCTAAACCTGTGCATCACTTCAGTATAACATTCTTAACTCAGAACATATTAAATGAAGGTATTAGATTTATAGTAACAAAGTTATAGCCCCCAAAGCTGTAAGTCAGAGAATGTTGTGTGGTAGAATGTATTCAGTTTCAGTATTCACAGTATTCAGTGAGAGTTCTGCAGTGTCTTTTCTGGTGACTTGGGGTCAAGAGTTGTAATTTGGCAGTAAGACGGGGGAAAAGGGAATGACCTTTAAATTCTTTCTTATTCATTAATACATTACAATTTAGTAGGTGTCCATACTATTTCTGAGACAGAAATTGATATTTTAACTTAAGCTAAGATTAGTTTAATTTAATAAAAAGAGCTTTTTCTCAAAAACATTATCAAACAAGATCACTGATTTTAGCAGTAGTAAATAGACATTTTAAAATAATGGAAATTCATCACACTAATTTTTCCAATTTTAATATACACAGTATCACAATGTAACAGTCCAGTTATCTATGTGAACTTATTTTAGCTTTCTCTTATTTTGCTAAAAAATACATGATAATATTTAATATAGAATCCAGCTTGTAAAAGAAAATACTATTATACATACATTTTAGTAGCTAGAATGGGAAGAAGGAAACATAACAAAGTCTTGTGCTGTCTTCTACTAGTACTAAAATTACTTGAATCTTACCTCTTGATCAGAATTATGATCTCATTTATCACTTGGTGAAGTTTGGAAATCAGTACTGACTGTGGTATTCAAGAAGTAAATTAGAGAGGATTTTTCTGACACTGCAAGCCACGATTTTGGACCTTGTAGTTTTCAAGAGACCATAAACAACTTTGATATTCAAAAAGTGACGAGCACTCACTAGAAGCTGCATTCTTCTCATGTGAAAAAATGGTAAGCACAATAAAAACCTTACCCTTACCTTTGGTGGCTTGAATGGATAGTCAGATGAAAATGTGATATCCAAGAAGAAAACACCTCCTTCATATACAGAACCTGGAGGTCCAAGTATAGTGGATCTCCATTCATAAATGTTATCTCCTTTAGGACCGGCACTGTGTAAAGAAAAAAGAGTAGAGGGGAAGAAAGAGTCAGATATACCTCTGAGAGGGTATATATTTTATGTATTTCCTTCAGCATTCATTTTATTTAATAAAAACTATTTGACTATTTTTAACACCTGCCCAATTTCCAGCTGATTTCAATGGACTCGGTGTTTTAAACTGGCACAAAAGCTGGGTATTCTGCTGTTCCTTTGGAGAAACTGCAATGAAACAGAATGATGATGAACTACTGTTTTTTCACTGTCCAAAACGTATCCCCAGATCTATTTTCTTGAGTATATCATTGCTCTGAGGTTCTATATCACACTTTCATCACCCTTTCAATGCCATCATATTCATACACAAAAGGAGTTTTACATCTTGACCACATTCATCTTCTCCAAGCATTTAACAGATCACACCTCCATAAGAAATGTGGCCTTCTAGGATATTGATACACATTTATTGCTACTTGTTTCATAGGTAAGAGTGAAATGTTACACCCTTGGGCAGCAAAACTAGGGAAGGGAGAGATAATCAAGTATCACAGAATTGAGCTTCTTGCAGCACTGTCATTCCAAATAACTGTTTTCTTCAGGATATATTTGTGTTATGCCTCTGGGCAACTGGCAATGAGACAACGAGCCAAAAAGACTTTATTTTAAGAAGCACAATACTGAATGCATTTCTTACTAGGGGAAGGGGTACTGCATAATTAATTATTAAAGGTTTGAAAAAATGGATAATGAACCAGCATTTTCTCAACTACTGAGCTATCATTAATGTTATTACCACACAGTAACCATCTAACCCCCTCAGAAACAACCCTAACCAAACAATAAACCCTTACCCACCCCTCCCCCCCAAAGAAAACCCAAAAAACACCAGCAAAAAAATCAAATCTTGAGCAAGACTGGAAAAAAATTAGCCTAACCTTCCACAAAGGGTCCTGAATCTGCCCTGCTGAGAGCAAAAGTTACTGAACTGACTGCTATGGAGAGCAACAGCACTGAGCTCACGCAGACACAGTGGACTGATCACATCTATGCAGGTAAGTCGGTAGCACAACACTGTGAAAGATCCTTTCAGTTCTCCCCACCTGGGCACTTTCCCAGGCACCCCCTCCATTTCCCAGGCATGCTGAAGCAGCCCCACCTTTCTCCCTCAGTGGTGGCCAGGAACAGGCCCCAAGGACTGTCACACGTGATTGCACACGCAGCAAGGGACAGGGCATGGCACCACACCACACTGCTGCCTGGGAATTTGTGGTTTCTGGAACTGCTCAACACACAGAGGAGGCTCCCTACAAATGTAAAGGCTCTTCCTATGTCATGTCACTCCACATAGCTGTCATACATATGTTTGCAGTCTGTAGCACAGCATGTTGGACATTCATTCTTACTGTGCAGTCAAACGTGGAGATGCTCATCAGATACAAGGAATATGAGCAGTCTGCACTATGGATTTGCAATCCCCACATGAAAAATTTACCTATTTTTACATTAAGATCATATTGATAAATTTCATGGTTGATCATGAGTTATGTTTATTTCAATTCATAATTTTCCAAGATGTTTTTTTATTTCGTAGACATTTCA